TAATAATAATAATAATAATAATAATAAACTTAACCTAAGTGAGTGAGTGAGTGGATAAATAATGATCAGACCGAAGACACAGAAGTGAAACCAGGGAGAAGAGTTATTTTCAGTAGTTTGCAATGTTCAATGTACATAAAAATAGCAAAAAACATAATTGCTTCTGCAGAGTAAATGTAAAGTTGAGAGGAAGAGTGGATAAAGGAAACAGAATTGTCTTTTATAAAATAACAAAATATTAAAAGTTACAAAATATATTTTGTTTTGTAATTGTGATTTGGATGTTTTTATAGGTTTGTGGATGGAGCTGGGGTCAGAAAATAGAGTGTCACAGAAATATGAAAAGGCCGGATTATAGCATGTCTACAATATTTATAGCAGAAAAACAAAATTGCACCGAAAAGTTGTAGGGAAAGATATTCTGATATCTTTATAAATTTTCCCATATTCGATTCTACTTGTTTAATTTTTTTCCTTTTAGACTTTGTAATAACAGGACATATTTAAGGAAACAAAGTTGTAAAAACTCAGAAAAAAGATTTTCCACAGGGTATTATTACCTAACTTTCTAATACATTAGGTAGGCATTGAAAAGTGTGGTTTTTTTTGTTGTTGTTGTTGTTGTTTTTGCTTACAATATATTTTGTTTAGTATATTAGGAAAATCAGAATCGCAATAAGAAGAAAACAGGGAGCAGAAGAGAAAATTGTAGTTGTTAATGGTTAGTCCACAAAATGGATGATTCATACATGAGTAATTAAGAATTAACTAAAATCATACTTAACAGGGTTCTCATATATCATCTTCTTACCAGGGATAACCTGGCTCTACATAACAACAGAAGCAACACCTTTTTTTGAGGTTATGTCCATTTATTTTTCAATTGTAAAAGTAGTAATGATGCTCCTTCCAACCCTTTATGCCCCTTAAAGAAAGGCATAGGTCCTTCAGGAAGTGTGGTTTTTCAGTACAAACCACATAAAGGATATGGACTTGTACACAAATCGTGGGAGTTAATCAGTGTCTCAGGGACAAGAATCATGGGAGTTAATCTATCAAAGACAAGAATGAGGGAAGGACATGAATAAAAAAAA